AGGCCTTGGCTATAGGTTTTGGTGGAGGATGAAGGCCAGGCTTGGGACAATGCTCAGTCCCCCCTGGTTATGAAAACCTCCAGGAGTCTGTTATCTGATATGTCCAACATCTGCTTTTGTGTGTTATTTTTAAACCTTTATTTTATGTGGTGCTGAGGATCAAACCCAGTTTCTCACAGGTACTAGGCAAGTGCTCTGCCACTGAGCTACAGCCACAGCTGCTTCTTAATTATACTCCTTGGCTTTTTAGGAGAGGGAGGGGGGAGAGTGTGTGTGTGTATGTGTGTGTGTAAGCATTCCCTGGGTGCTCTGCTAAGTTCTTTACATATATCACATTATCTTATGTCTCTTCACAACAATCCCCCAGGGATAGATACTTAACCCATGTAATAGGTTGGGAAGTTGAATAATTGTCTAAACTCATGTCACCTGAAGGAGGAGGAAGCATGATATAAATCCCCACTTTCATCATAAGTGACTCTTTGAAATACTGCTCTTGATTTCTGCAACACTCTTTCCTGGTTTTCCACTGTGCAATCCTCGGTGTTCCTCTTATGCCAGCCCTTCTCCACTCACTTTTTCATGGTACACATTTCTCTACCTCCATCTTTTAAATTCCATTCTTCCCCATGGGCACTTGGATGTCCATAAGGACCTCATTGGAGCTCTGCTGTATCCAGCCCATCTTTGCGTTTCTTTATGAATCCCTATTTTGAGGAATGGCACTACTTTCTACCTGTCGCTCATGCCTACATCCTTTGCTCCCTGCTTCCCAACTATTAACTTCTTCCATGATATATCTTGGGTCTAACCTTGTTCACTCCACTGCCCATTCCCTATCTTACTTTTGCAATACTTCTCTATAGTTTCCCCTTCTCTCTAGCTTAGTACCTCCCTTTCCAAAATCTACCTCCTAATCTCAAGCCACATGGAACTATTGAAAAGACTTGTGCTCTTTGGCTTCTGTGCCTCTACACATGATGTTTCCTTGCCCTTAAATGCTTATGTCTTCTCCCCCTGGATAACCCCCATTATCCTTCATAGCTCTGCTCAGAAATCACCTGCTCAACTGCCCCTCCTGGGTACTACTCTCCTCATAGCTAATAGCAGACAATTTACTCTCATTTCCACTAGACTATAAGCTCTGGAGGACAGGGACTGCCCTTTACTATGGGTACTCAGATGACACTTTCGAACATGACACTGAGAGGCAGCACTCCAGAGTGGTTAAGAGCATATTCTAAAGCCCAAATGCCTGGAAGTACATCCTGGCTCCACCATTTACCAGCTGTGACCTTGGGTGAGTGGCTTGACCTGTCCCAATTTTCTCATCTAGAAAAGAGAGATAACATACACCTATTTCAAAGGGTGTCTGTGAAATGTAAATGAGTTAATATAAAGTGCCTAGAACAGAGCCTGGCAAACAGTGAGGATTTCTGTATGTAAGAATAGCTCAGATTCTGGGCCGTAAAATAAATAAATAAATAAAAAACACCTGTCTTGGTACACTTGAAACTGAAAATATTCAAGTATTTAATAATGATTTATTTTTATGTGGTGCTGAGGATCTAACCCAGTACCTGACATGCTAGGCAAGTGCTCTGCCACTGGGCCCTGGCCCCAGCCCCAGCCATCTATAGCTTTTTTGGTACTGTTCTTCTCTTAACGCTGGGTATATATAAGTTAAGCTTGCTCTCAAAGCTTAACTTCATGGTGGGCCAGCAGGTGGGCATTATCTTGTCCACAGGAGGCTGGGACCTGAAGTGTAAAGAGAACCTGGTGGATACCCTTGCAAAGCTTTAAGCTTTTCTGTAGGTGGGGGTGAAGGATATGGAATTAACAGGATTTTCCAAAGAGTAGAACTATGACTTCATGTTTATATGCAGATAAAAATGTGTATCAGCACATTGAAGTTTCCTTAGGAAATTATGAAACCTGTTTATTCTCAAGCTGTTCTTTACCATGGAACCCCTTTTCCTTTTTTGGGCTGCCTAATTAGGAACAGTTCTTAACACTGTTTTTAATATAATTTGAATTGTAAATGATGGTCTGGTCTCAAACATAGCTCTTGATCACAAACCCTCAATTGCCTTTGTTTTCTTCATTTCATGGCAAGGTTCCTTCCAACTGAGCTCAGGGTGTTAAGAAGTAGAAGTAGGCTGATGCTACTGTGTATGAGCAGTCTAGGGCAACCTATCATTTTTGGCATATAGTCAATTCAATTTTAACCAAACAGTATGTCAACTGGAATATCTTAAAGAGGCAGAATCAATCATGAGAATCTGTTTTGAGAATGAAGTTTAAAAACAGAAGTTTAAATCATAACTGTTTATGAACGAACCTGTCACCAAACTCTAACATCCCATACCTTCCCTTAAGAGGTCCCACTAAAGAAATGAACACACATACATACACACAAAAGCAAAGGAGCGCTAATTATACAAGAGGCACTGATCCTTGCTTTATTCACGTAGTAATATCCAACATTGGGAATTGTGTGGGTATAGATACAAAAAAAGGAAAATGGGATCATAAACAATAGTTGGGTTCATCATGGCAGTGATGACAGCTCAACCAGTGTGTGGTTCCCCCAGGACCTACTTGCTTGAGGGAGGGGAGGCCTCCCTCTACCACTACACAGCCAAGGTACTTTGACAACACTTGGCCTATACTTTAAAATTAGGGGTCACAGTGATTTAATACAGCATGGTCGAGACACTCGGGGTCAAGTAACTGCTCCTGGCCACTTAGTAGGAACAGCCTGGCAATAAGAAATCGAGTACTGTGTATGCCTTATCCTTAGCAGATTGGGGCAAGGAAGATCACAGCAGAGACCCATGAGATAGCCTTCTCCCTGTGCATCAACAGAGAAACCCTTCGAGCTAAGTCCTCAGGAGGCAGAACTGGAGGTACCCCATCAGCAGCAGCATATCTTGGTTTCTCATGGTCCCATTTAAAAGTTACTTTATTACAGAAAATAGAAAAGCTTTTGTGGTTGGCCTTCTTGAGACCCAGAACACTAAGTGAGGGATGGAGGGGAGAAGCTTCCTCTAGCACCACCATTTAGACTCAGAAGAGTTCTCTACTGCATATACCACACCACTTCCTTGCCAACACAGATACCCAACTAATGTGCCAGTTACAAGACAGATTTATAGGCCATTAAGGAAGAAAATTCTGAGGGAGGGTACTTAGCACCTTATATTTCCCTCATGTGGTAAAGTTGGAGGAGGACCTAGCAGTGAGGTAGCAGCAACAACCCTCACATAAAGAAAAGAATTGAATTTTACAGTCATTCCCTGGACATTGAAAATAAGCAGTATTTGTCCTAGATCTCATGCTCCAACCACCCTCTCATGGGAAGCCATGTCACGTTAGCCTTGTATCTCCAAAGAAGCTGAGAAGGAAAATGGCTTCCCAGCTGAATGAAGTGCCTTCCAGCATCCAGTTTCTCAGAACAAAGATCCAGAGAGCTCACCAGAGCCCAGGCACAAACTTGTTTTGTCTCTGTTGAATTCACCAAGTACATTTTTTTATAGAAGAGAAAACTGAAGGACAAACCAAATTGAAAGAATCACTGTTATAATAACTTTAATTTATCTTGCATTTTACAGAAGTCTATGAACGATTTTAAAAAAGCACCTCCTTACCCCATCATGTCTGACACTTGTTAAAGTAGGCAATGAGTATGTCAACAGCTTGAGCATCGGCATCCTGCAAGGATTTCAGATCAACCAACCACTCACCAAAGAACTTGGCAGCTTTTCTATCTTGTTTTTAATATAATGGTATATCCACTCTGATGGTAAACCTGTCCAGCCAAATCTCCACAACACACTTTGCAAAATCAGTGGTGATTAGCAAATTAGTTAGCTTTGGCACGGAGCTGTGCTCGCTTGCCCGTGACAGCCTGGAAGCCGGTTTTGATACTAGCAACAGAGCATCGAGAATGACAGGTTTCACACTGTAAGAAATAGAGCCGGGTGTCCTTCTGCAGGATGGTGTCCGGTGATCGGCATGTGTGGCATGTGACATATTCCTCTGCAGGAAAAGCAACACATAGCATTACTGGTAGCCACCCTGAAACAGAGGTTGCTCTCCTCTGCATTTACATTGCATCTACGTTGGACTCAATAAGCCTAGACTCAGACTGCAATTTAATTGTGCACCCAGACAGGGAAGCTTAACTGAATTTCAGCTATTGGGGCAGCAATCAGAAAACACAAGTTGTCTTCTGTAATGTCCTGGCACTAAAACATGGGTTGGGCGATGGGGGGATTCTTTAAAAAAAAAAAAAAAAAGATTCTAAATTCTTCATCCTGGAGCAAAAAAGGATGAAGCTGAGTTTGAAGAGATAAGATGAAGCTGCCTCTTCTTGCTTCCGTCTACACTACAGACCCCATACCTTCCTACATGGAAACAGGCATGCCATAGCAATTTTAAGTAATTAGTAAGGTCACAAAAGCAGGCCAAGCCTAGCCTGAATCGTAGGCAGATTTCGCCTTCAGCTCCAGAATCAACCAGCAGGCTCAATCAGCTGGGCCTTAGGAAATTCAAGTCCTTTTCCCTTGTGCCCCTGTCCAACTTTCCCTTTACAATCCTTTCCCCGCTGGTCTTTTAAAAGACTGCTTTTCCAGGCTCATTACAAACAAAAGGCTCTCCCAAAACACAGCAGCCTGATGAGAAGTTTAGAGTGATGTAATAAAATTAAGTTACACACTTACTTATATATCTTCTCAAGACATTTTCTATTTGTTTCTGTTGGAATCTTCCTTTGATTACAAGTTGGTTATTTCCATCTATAGATCCACTATGAAAAACAAAAATAGCTTTATTATTTTTATTTTTCCCTCAAAGAATCAAATTCTAACATCTTTATATTTCATCAATTTAAAATATATTCAGGGTTAGGGATGTAACTCAGTTGATTTAGCACCTGCCTGCCTGTCATGTGCAAGGTCCTGGGTTTGATCCCCAGCAACACACACATACACACACACACACACACACACACACACACACACACACACACACGCGTGCTCGCGTTTATGTGGTGCTAAGGATCAAACCCAGTGCCTCACACATGGTAGGTGAGTGTTCTACCTCTGAGCCACAACCCCAGCCCTTAAATTTTATTTTTAATCAAGTCATCAAAGCCTGATGACCTACCTATCTTCCCTAACATTAAATCTAATTTTAACCAATTACTTCTGCAGGGACAACAATCAGATTCATAACTAATTTTAATTAATAACTGAATTATTAATTGCATTTATGAGCCCATTCATCAAATAAAGGAAAACAAACTTTTACTGAATGCACAGCACATGCAAAGCAATGTGAGCTATAAATATAAAAATATGAAAAGGATTACATGTATTTTTAAAAATTCTAAGTTGCATGTGGTGGTATCCACCTGTAATCTCAGTTATTCAGGAGGGTGAGTTAGGAGGATCACTTGAGCCCAGGAGTCCAGGGTCAACCTGGACAACATAGTGGGATCTCATTACACAAAAAATATAAATAAAATACAAAATAGGGATGGAGAAGTGGCTCAATGGTTGAGTGCCCCTGAGTTAAGTCCCTGGTACCCTTCTCCCTCCCCAAATTACAAATCAATAAAACAACAATTCAGTTAAAGAGTAAAGTTTATATTTGTTCTGTATTTTATCATAAAACTGACTTTTACAAGAACATTTCCTATGATTCTTCTTTAACTATAAGGGTTTAATATCACACTCCATGAACTATAATCTTTAATTTCTAGGCTATGGTGACTCCAATGGAGGCATATTTTTTTCATGCACTGTTAAAAGAAATAGAATTTTCTCAAACCCTAAGATATTTAACCCAACTACCACAAGTTCACCTCTACAAAAATGCTAATTATTCTGAGTAGAAAAAACACTGTCACACTTTTTTTCTGCTTAAAAATAAACAATGATTGTATTGAATTTTTTAAAAAACTACAATTCTATAACAGAGCTTACTTATCTATCATGGTTAATAAATTAGTTCTTAACCCCACAGCAAGTATAGCAAACTCCACTTGTGATTTTTTTAGAGAGTAAAAGCACAAAACACCTTATTTATCTCTGTGCTGACAGTAAGGCACAGGCAATTAAGCCCTTGAAGAACTCAAGCTCCAGAAACAAGTAAGATCCAAGTTTGCATCTTGACTGTGCCACTAACTAGCCACAGGAACCACCACTTCACTAAATCTGTTTCCAAATCTGAGCACTGGTATTATTTTCTACTTTATAGAAACATTGTAAAGATTGAGATTGTAACCAAAAAGCACTGCACAACAGGTGCTCCACGTGTGTCATCATTATTATAAATGAAGTCTACATTATCTATTTTAAAGGGACATTTGGCTTCCTGAACTTATAGTAATTAAACTCATTGGCCTGGGCTCCATGAGATCCTGGCCTCTTTGAATGGGGATGGACTGGCTCAGTGCCTTCAATAGATGAACCCTACAATCAATACAGTTGATTGTAGGGTTTATCTACTTCCCTGAAATAGCTACTGAACTCAAATCCTTACTTCAATGGTTTCTCCTATGCTACTCATTACCTTACAAACTATTTCTCCAATACCCTGTTGTCAATTTAGAAAAAAAGTTCTGACTCAAGAAAATGGGTTCCTCTGAAATCTAATATGTGCTCCACAAAAAAGACCGAGAGTTCCAATTAGTGACAGGGAAGTCTAAACATGGGAGTACTTGTGCTTTCAGTTTGGTATATCAGTGGGCCTGATCAGATGAGCCAGTCAACTCTGTACCCTGTTTTTTTTTTTTTTAAGCTGTTGATAGACCTTTATTTTATTTATTTATTTATATGTGGTGCTAAGAATTGAATCCAGTGCCTCACACATGCCAGGCAAGTGCGCTACCACTGAGCCCCAGCCAAGCTCTTCCATAGAAATGAAGTGGTTTCACTTCTCTACAGCTCTAAAAGTTCTGGATATCAGGTAAATGTTATTTCTGAGCACATTACATATCTTTTTAAGTAGAGAAGTTCTTATGAAATGTCTGGTAGTACATAAATATGAATACAATTTCTTACCTTGTACCCAATTCTGCCAATAAAAATGCAAGGAGATGTTTGGGCTGACGATGTAATCTAAAAAGAAAATCAAATAAATGAACTGTAGCTTTCATGGAAATCTAAAAAAAACTAAACTTCTAAAAAGCCACCCTGTTCAGAATTTCAATTTGTTATTACTCAGCTTTTAGCTGAATTTCAGGACATAATTCATTTAAACTTTGAAATAAAAATATATACTATATGATAAGACTTTTTTTCAATAGTTCAATACTTATAATAACATTATTATTAACATTATTATTCTATTTCCATAGAAAAACATGGATAGGAACAAGAACTTTTGAGGATAGTATCTTCCTCTGGGAAGGAAGAAGAAAGGAATCAAAATGATACAAAGGCCTTAATTGTAAAACTATCTATCATCTATCTATCTATATCTATCTATTTATTTATTGGTACTGAAGATTGAACTTAAGGGCACTCAACCACTGAGCCACACCCCCAGCCCTACTTTATATTAGAGACAGGGTCTCACTGAGTTGCTCAGCGCTTCATGGTTGCTGAGGTTGGGTCTGAACTCGAAATCCTCCTGTCTCAGCCTCCCGAGCCATAGGGATTAGAGGTGTGCGCCACCGTGCCCAGCTGTAAAACTTCTCTTTGAAGAAGTAAAAAGAAGGGCTGGGGCTGTAGCTCAGTGGTAGAGCACCTACCTCACATGTGTGAGACACTGGGTTTGAACCTCAGCACCACATAAAAATAAAGATATTGTATCCATCTACAACAACAACAAAGAAGCAAAAAGATCTGAAGCAAATGTATCAAAAGGTTAAAATATACCAAACCTAGATGATGGCTATTTAGATGTTTGTTATGCCAATTCCTGTTTCTTGTTTGAAGCTGTTCTTTAAAAATAAAAAGAAACTATATATACATGTAGGCATGTCAGGGTAGCACAATAGCACAAAAACAAACTGCTTAAATATTTACCAATATGAAATATTTGTATCATAAATGTATATATGATACATTTATTCAATGGTGTACCATCCTGCTTTTAGAACAAGATAGGTCTCTTTTTTTCCCTAAAGTACACAGATAACAGGCAGAGCAATGCCACTCACTACTTTCACCTTTTAAATCTATACACTTGGTATCATTTAAATGCGTTTTAAGGGCTGGGGATGTGGCTCAAGCGGTAGCGCGCTCGCCTGCCATGCGTGCGGCCTGGGTTCGATCCTCAGCACCACATACAAACAAAGATGTTGTATCTGCCGAGAACTGAAAAATAAATATTAAAAAAAAAAAAAAAAATCTCTCTCTCTCTCTCTCTCCTCTTTCTTTAAAAAATAAAAATAAAAAATAAATGTGTTTTAATAAGCAGACAAGTAAGGGAATATTTTCCCAAAAGGTAATGGGTGAGAGTTGGTGAAAATATAATAAAACAGATGAACTTCTATGTTGTTAGTGGGAGTACAAATACTTAAAAGCTTGCTGGAATGCATTTGCCAATGCTTGCCATTAAAATATCCATTTTTTTAAATTCAGGAATTCCACTTTGGGAATTTTTGATCTAAGACTCTGTTCTGAACTACTGCAAAAACACATGTCTAAAGATGTCCATGAACATCTTCGTTCCCTGAAGCTTTGCCTCCAACAATATAAATCTGAGAGCAACAATGTCCAACTTAAGAACTATGAGAATATTTTGTGAAGGTATTTAAAACACAGGAATGCTATTTAATGACATAAGCAAAAGTTTTAAAACTACTGGAAAAACCAGGTTAAATCAGTATGATACCAATATATTTAAAGATATGTGCATTAAACTATGGTCATCCATCTCAATGGTGAACTTTGAATGAGTTTTCATTTTCTTTAGAGTGTCTTTATTTTCTAATAAGTATATAGTACTATTGTTTTAACAAAGAAGTCTAAAAAGTAATGCCTGTAAGTAACGAAAACAAGTGGTTATCTTTTTACTGCAGCAAGCATGTATATCTCTTATGTAGAAGAACAATGAAAGGCATTGCTGAGGAGCTCTGAGAAAAACAAGGCCCAAAAATGTCACCTGTGACACTGGCATAGAATGTGATGGTATTAAGAAAGTAGAAATCTCATCTGGCAAAGACCATCCAAGGAAGAGGCATATCATATTGAGCCACTTTTCAGAGCTCACTATTGGCTTGATAGGCCCAGCCCCACCTAACTTTTTACCTCCATAGACTCCTGTCTGAGAACTACATTCAGGCCCCTCACTCCTCATTCCATCTGTTTAGGACCCATTCTCATAGACTAGTATGTATGAATTGACTTCTTTCATCATCACCACAAAAATGAACCCTGAAACCTGATTTGAAACTTGATGGACCTACATTGTGATCCTCCTCAACCTAATCCCTACACCTGTGCATTTTATTTTTTACCTGCAATAAACCCGCAATAAGGATATTTAACATCCTGAAAAATTCACTGAAAATCTGGTATTTGGATGGAGGGTCTCCATTAACCAACTTACAGTTTACAGATATCTGTAAAGTTGACAAAAGAAGTTTTCTTGGTTCCTACTCGGACAACCTGTGGAGGTTTCATAACAAATTTTCTTTTTTCTCCAGCAACCATATCTGGATTCTTTTCCCTCATGATGTTGAACACTCGATTCAGTAGCTATAGGGATAAAGTGGTATTCAAGCACATTCTTAGTAATAGCAGGGGTATAAAGTTCACATTTGAGTCACTGCTTTAATGGAGCATATTTCTTTACTTTTCTTGTGTGTGCACCCTCTGTTTATTGAGATATAACTGATAAATAAAACTGTACATACTCATGGTATACAATGTGATGATTTGATATATATATTGTAAAATGATTACCCTAGTCAAGTTAGTTAAAATATCCATCACCTCACTTACTTTTCCTCTTCCCACTCACCCATGAAAGAACACTTAGAACCTACTCTTAGCAAAATCAAGTTAACATCACAATATGATTAACTAAAGTCATCATGCTTTACATTAGATCTCTAGACATTATTATAATTAAAGGTATTTACCCCTTTGCCAACACCTCTCCATTTCACCCATCCTCCAACCCTGCCAACCACCTTTCTATTATTTCTACGAGTTTGATTTTTTTTAAATTTCACATAAGGGAGATCATGCAGTATGTGTCTTTCTATATCTGACCTATTTCAGTGAGCATATTTCCTCCAAGTTCATCCACATTGTCACAGATGGACATATTTCACTTTTTACTAAATATACACAAACATCACTAAATGTTCTAGAAGCTCCCTGAAGGCAGGAACTCATCACCAACCAGGATCTATCTGTCCCAATAAAGATGGTGAGTGATTCCATTACAGATAGTGATTCTTTCTTGTCCAAAGTAAACGCACACAACTAATTCTGCTATGTTTAAAGAAAAGTATATGATCTGTGGAAGATTCAAGCAACTCCAGACTACCCTGGTTCCAAATTAGTCATTCTGTCACCAATGCCACTCTAATCCTCAGGCTCCATACCTCAGAAGTCCCTGAACACAGATGGGAATAGTGAGTATTACAATGACTGTCACATTCTAGGCAGGCTGCCCACAGGTAGGCATCAGAAAATGCTATGAACTGGCTGTGACCTCTCTGTCTCTGTTTTACCATCAACCTGTATCTCAAGGGCCCTTCCAATTTGAGGATCATTTACCTTGTTTTTCTTTGTGTGCACGGTTTGGTGGAGTCAATCTGGGCACTCTACCACTAAACCACATCCTCAGCCCTTTTTACTTTTACTGAGATTATAGGTGTGCACCACTGTGACCAGCTATCATGTTTTTAAGTTCTAGTGAACAGCTTAGCCCCTTCTTGTAAGAGAATTTGTCTTACCTCCTCATAGGTGTAGTCTCTTTCTGAGCCTGCCCAAGCAGGACCTGTCTGGTTACTGAATGAGATCCCATCATCTTTTTTGCTATCTTCATCTTCTACAGCTACAGATAACAAAGATTGTAAGAATGGGGGTGGATTCTATTATACCAACAGAGGGGGAGGGGGCTTCAAAGACATTTGTGGTCCCTTTCACTAAGGCATTCATTCATGACAGCCGTAAGCATAAAGAGACCAAGGATCACAAACAATCCCCTTTCCCTTAAAGGCAAGGATGTTATGAAATGCATAAGACCCTTAATATATATATTAATGTTAACACATGGTGAAATGTTTCTTGACTTAACAAATACAACGAAATAACTGCTAGAATAATTGCTAGCTATAAATAATTAGAAGGAAAAGAGTTTAATTTTGAAAGCATTTAAGAAACTTCCACATCCATAAAAACCCATCTGATGACTATATGAAAAATTCTCTAAAAACTATAGTATTTAAAAACTGATAAAACTGAACTTTAAAAGAAGTCCCCTAGCCCCAATCAAGGAGATGAAGAGCCAAGCGTCAAGCCTAGAAGAGATGTTGAGTCCCCAATATTACCTTCATCTTTCTCTAATATTTCATCCTCATCTGGGAACTTGACATTCTTCTTTTTCTTCTTTTTATTGCCAAGCATAATATCAAGATCATCCTCTGGTTCAGCTGGCTCTTGAACATCACTTTCAATCTTAAGATCCTAAGAAATTGAGAAAAGTCTCAACATTTTGATACTAGGGCAATAGTTTTTAATTAAAAAGACAGTGGCCTACCATCATTTTAGAGCAAAAACAATCAAATATTCAAAGCTAAAGTTACAGATAAGAAATACCTCTCACAAGTGGGAAAAACTGGCTCAGGGATTATCATTAAAACCATAAATTTCTCAAAATACTTTGTGGGATCTTTTCCCTCCTCTTTTTTATTCTTCAGGCTTGGGAATCTTATTATTCATGTTTCCAAAACAGGCTACTATCAGAACCATCTGGTTCTGATAAAAAATTAAAGAAAATTCTTTAATCTTCTGACAATCTTTAGTGGAAAAGGACTGAGGGTTTTTTTTATAAGTTTCTGACTAAATATGATGCAGTTAGTGGGTAATTCTCCTGCTGAAACCAAATACGTGATGTTTTTCCACAACAATTCTCTAATATCAACTAGACATCCTCCAATTAAATTTTGATACTATCTGGAGTTACTGTCAGACTCCAAAGGTTTAAAGGCTCAGTTTCATAGTTTATCGATTCTCACTCCAGATGGTAGTAACAAGTATCAGGTTCCCAAAGTTACCCACACTGACTTGTCTACAAATTCAGAGGTTCCCACAATGCCTTCCCCAAATTCAATCATTTGCTAAAATGACACACAGAACTCAAAAAAAGTGCTTTATTTACCAGTTTTATTACAAGGGATACAACTTAAAAAAAAAAAAAAGCCAAAGGGAAGCAATCCATAGGGACAAAATGTGGGGAGATGGGAACATGTCAAGGAAGGCATGTCTCTAGGCATGCCACCCTCCCAGCACTTCAATGAGGCCACCAACCTGGAAGTTCTCTGAACTCCATTACTTAAAGTTTCATTAAAAATGTGTAATTTACTAAATCAATGGCCACTGGCAAGCCAAAAGAACTCAATCTCTAGACCGTCCATCCTCAGAAGTGGCAGGGATCAAGGAAAGTTCCAATCCTCTAATCATGGCTTGATCTGCCTGATGACCAGCCCCTATCTCAAGCTATCTAGGGGCCTCCTAGTAATCAGTCTTTTCATTAGCATACGAAAGATATTTATCATTTTGAAGACTGCCAACAGTTAAAAGACAAATATCTCTTTTATTACACCACTTCAGCTTGGCAACAGGCTGGAGAAGTCCTTAATCAGCATTTCTATAGATGACATCACGAAAGAGGGAAAGATAGACCCCCCCACCCACAGGGAATTAGGATCTTATGATGAATGGATGCAGACAAGGTACAGCTTGACCAAGATTAGCTGCTAGAGGTATGGATGTTAAATAGGGCATGTTAGAGATGAATCATAAACACCTCTGGAAAAAAAAAGGGCCTACCTCAGTCTCCAGCCTTTTAATTACTTCCTCTTCTCACCAGCTTACCCAACTCCTATTCCAAGTATACTGTCAACATTAGCCACAATTCTATTTTTTGTGTACCTATACTCTGAACTACTATGACAATGCTATGGTAATTTCAGAAACCTTATCAGCAGAAAAGTTGGAAGAGATGAGTAAACAAAATTCAGACTTGGGATCCCAAATCCAGTTCTGTAATCTGGTGTCACACTAATCAACCCATTGTATTAGCTAGGTATACTAAAACAGGAAACTAGATATTGATCTAGTCTCTAAGATGATAGTAAATGAGAAATGTAGAAATTTGAATTTAAATTAGCACATACTGGCTAGCTTTTAGTCCTATGCTCCTATTGACTTAATCCTAATAATTAGATCTACCTCTAAACTAAGGCCAAGAAACAGTAAGAGGCAGACACAAGCAAAAATTGTTTTTCAGGTGGTTCAAAAGTCCTGGAATGGTCAGAAAATTCAGGTGGGAGCGTAACTTATGACCTCAAAAACATTTCAGCTTCAAGATCGATATCCATGCCTTTCTTGCTTCATGACCAGGATACCTGTAACATCTTCCTAAGGTTATGACTTCAATAACAGAGAAAAAAATGTATCCAAGCACTTACAAGTGGAGCTTATTAGTGACTCTTGAGGACAAAAGCTACTAGAAGTAACAAATATGCCCACTCATGTCCCAAGGGCATTTCATGACTCAAAGAATAAACTGCTTTAACAGCCTATGAAGCATTTTGTCCTTCCATCTGTAATGACCCAGTTTTTATTAAAGTTGGACACATTATTGACGTGAATAACAAAATATAATCCATACAGAACATGAGAGAAAAAAAAAAGAATCAACTAACAAAACTTTGTTAATTTCTGTGGCACATCTCTGATGTTTCATCTTGTTATCAGGATATTAAAACCCAATTTGTTCAGTACAATATGAGCATTTCTCTTTCTCAATTCCCCTGCAGTAATAGAAGGAAATGAGACTCTCCAAACAGGGAGATAAAAAGTCAAATCCAGGTAAAAATCATCTTGTTCTAAAGGATTCTAAATTATCCCTGAACTTGGGGCTGGGGATGTGGCTCAAGCGGTAGCACGCTCGCCTGGCATGCGTGCAGCCCGGGTTCGATCCTCAGCACCACATACAAACAAAGATGTTGTGTCTGCCGAGAACTAAAAAATAAATAAATAAATAAATAAATTATCCCTGAACTAAAATGAATCTGAAAATAGAAAAAAACTTATTACCAACAATGCCTGATTCACTGTAAACACTAATATGCATTTGCTTAATTAACAGCCATCAAAATTAAGACATTATTTCCAAAACTCAATGGATTATGATACAAATATCCGACACATGTGAAATTATTTACTTATATTTGAGCAAATTAACTATTTACTAAAGAAAAGTTTCAGTAGAAGGCACAAAATGGGATTCTTGGTGTGTCTTTATGTGCATACGTGTTCTTACTCTTTTCTCTCTGAATACACACACACACACACATTAAAACTGCTATATGCTGGGGTGTATAAAATAGATGTGTGGGCTCTGCTAAAGTGATTTCTCTAAAAGTTCTTTAAAGTAGTAGTTCTAGGAAGGGAAAGAACAGACATTCAGTTCTTTCCTCATTTATCCACCCTCTTATTCACCTACCTACCCACCTATGTATCTGATTCCTGTTCAAAAAATTTTTCATGTATTTGAACTAGAAACCAATTCAGTAGTGGCAAGACAATCATGAGGTTTCAAGTCCCTACAAAATCAAAGAATTCCACAGAAGTAGCCTCAGTGTTCTGGTTTTCCTACAGGATACACTATCAACAGCTACTAAACACTGAAGCCTGGGAACTATTCTTTACTGCTACCAAAAGTTTAAACAAAAAAAAAACCCCACAGGAATATGTGCTCCATAAGATTTCTCACTTAGATAAATCTCTCTTCATCCAAACAATCGCAGTATGGTTAAAGACAGGGACACTTCATGATCATCTCAATGATACACAATATAATATTAAGACCTAAATTTACATTCCTAGAATAATCTTTAAAATATGTAGTCATGCCAGGTACAGTGGTGTACACCTGTAATTCTAGTAACTTGGAAGGTTGAGGAAGTTTGAGGAGAGCCTCAGCAACTTAGCACAGCTCTAAGGAACTTAGTGAGAGCCTGTCTCAAAGTTTAAAAAAAAAAAAAAAAAGCCTGGGAATATAGTACAGTGGTCAAGTGCCCCTGGGTTAAAATCCCCAGTACCAAAAAAAAAAAAAAAAAAAAAAGTCAGAGATACAAGAAAATGACCTTAACAGTGGTGATTAAGTGCTTAACAACTATAAAGCAAAGCTGCTAAGAGATAAGACAATGGGTGAGAAACAGCCATTTAGCAACCTTTCAAGAGGTCAAATTTTACCTTCAACAAGAAAGCAATACTACCTTTACACCTTCTTCAGCTTCATCAATATCAAATATCTTTTTTGTTTTTTTCTTCTTTTTCTTTTGATTAAAGAAGTTCAAATCATCTAGATCATCGGAAGCATCTATAAAAGACAGATTGAGCATCAAATTAAGAGTTACACATTCCAACTATTAACTAAGTCACCAGAAAAGAGAGATCAGATATATTAATTAGTACAGTAGACCTTCCACAAAAGTAAAGGTTGTGGTACTAAAAAGCACAATGACAGGTCAACTCCAAGCTTTCTAGCAAAGAATCTGGTTAGGGGACATTTTAAGCATATTTATTTAGTAATCTCTGACCATATCATTCTTGTTTCCAAAACAAAGTCACAGCTCTCACACAACTTCCAAGACCCTTCACCTTTATTTCTTCACTTCTACCTAGCCCTGTACCCCACCTTCCACACCTCAACCCCTGCTCCAGGCCTATAGAACTTCTTCCAATTCCTAGTGCAATGTGTGTGTAGTCTCACCTTCAAGCATTCCCATGAGCCCTCTCATATAGCAATTTGTTCCATCTCACCACCTTGATTAGGAGCTACTTCTACCAAGAAGTCTTCTCTAAGCCTGTAACTGGGTTAGGTATTCTCAGGATACTTGGGCATACTGAGGTAATTACTACAAGTTTGCTTTACCTGTCTCCCTTCTAGATACTAAGAGGATAAACCTTGTCCAACTAAATCCCAGTGCCTACCTCAACATTTTATTGAACTAATCAATCATTGAAAGGTCTTATATAAATTACTTCACATTTAATTAAAATAAGGCTGTACAACAAATATGAATATTGATGAAACTATCGTTAATGAGCAAGAATAGGTTCTGTTCAGAAAGTTTTCTATTTGCTCTGCCATTTTGTGTATTTAGGATCCCTCTACTACAAAGTTTTTCAAAGAACTATTTATGAATTCATTTTATCTTATTAAAACAGAAATGATTTACTTTCTAAAGTTGGTTTCAAACATGTACAAGACAGCACAAGGTATTTGCTCAATGATTATCAGTTCTCTCTACTCTAGGAATCTTATATTTGATACAAACTATATTTACTGAATCATTTATTTCTAATAGTCAAATTGTTTCTATGTTAGAGTACTACCATGAGTGAAAAAATAAAGCTAGTACTTAACCCCAAACATTTCAGACTAATTAATATTTTATATGCATTTTCAGATTTGCTAATACAAAAACTGCCTATGGGGGGGGGGGGTGCTGGGGTTGTGGCTCCATGGTAGAGCACTCGCCTTGCATGTGTGAGGCACTGGGTTTGAGCCTCAGCACCACATATAAATTATAAGTTATTGTGTCCATCTACAACGGAAAAAAAATTATTAAAAAAAAAAATATTCAAAAAACACCTATCCTTGATTCTATTCCTTTCTGCTCATACTCAAATACAATCCCATTAAAGCTGGAAAACCAGCTCCAGAAGGATGAAGTGTCATCATCTTTGCACTTGTGAATTCAGTGGGAATTTCCTGCAAAAAACCCATCATGTATCTGGTAAGGCTCAATGAACAGACTGCTAATGGCCTTAACTTTAATGGGCTCCCAGCACAATAGTGACTCTGACATCAACCACTTACCTTTTTTCCTACTGTCTTCTTCATCAGCTTCCACATCTTTATCCTCAGTTGGTTCTGGTTCCACTTCTTTTGTTTCAGAGGGCTGGGTTTCTTCTGTCTGGGCATCCCCTTCCTCATCTAACATAAAGGGCTTCTTCTTCTTCTTTTTCTTCTTACTCATTGTAGGATCAAAAATCATCTGTTTAAAAAACAATAAAGAATAAAAAGAGACCAAGTGATTATTTCTTAATGATGCTTTATCCTCAAAAGGCAAACTCTTAAAAGTAAAAGGTATAAAAAATAAAACTGTCCATCCAACCTTCCTTGTACTACTAAATATGGAGTGCAGGGAGAGGGAGTGTCTGAAACATGTGCACATGCCTTTCAATCTGTAAGGTACCTATCATAAGATAAAGGAACTTCACTTTTAATTTCATAAGCAAATTTGGACATCCTGAATGAATCATGGAATTAAGGGAAGGAACTTTAGCAACAAGCTATGGTTAGACGTCCCTCATTCATAAATGAGAAAATCGATACCTTGGAAAGTTTAGTTCATCTTATTGATAACCTGGAGTGGCTATATGTGGAGGCTAGATCTTGATTTTTTTAAAAATTTATTCTGAAGTCCAGACAAACCTTAAATTTTAAGAAAATCCATCAGCAAATCAGTAAATCTCTGAGAAATTTCCTTAGAAGTTTTTACACTGCTTTTTGTTTGTGGAATACGAAAAATTTGCTTATATTATTTTTATCTAAATGTTCACCATACAGTAAGTAGAAAAGTAATTTCTAACTTGTAGACTGCACTGATTACTTGAAAAGTTATTTTAGATGTAATAGTTTACACACACAGGGCAGGCACCTGACAGAGCAGAAAGAGCAAAGTCTTTAAGTCAAACAGAATTAGATTCAAATCCAAGTATTTTTTCCCCTGAGCTCCTTACCAATCTTTGCCCACTGATCTGCTGTGTTGTAGACTGTGTAGTGATCAGAAACAAATCTGGAGCACAACTGCCTGGATTTAAATCCAGACTCTGGCTCATACCTGTGTCACCTCATGCCTCATGTGTAAAATGGAGATAAGCTGAACTAAAACCAAACCTGACAAGGTTACTGCAAGCATCCAATAAGCAAACATAAAGCCCTTACATTATGATTTATATAATGCTTTACAGTTCACAAAACATGGTATCTGATTCCTATCACTGAAACATCCTCAACTCAGGTGATCTAATTTGCCAGATGTATCATGAAGCTCTCAAAACTTCCCCAAACTGATTATAATTAATTTAATTTTCTTTTTATGTCCCAAGCACATTAAGGAAACTAAGCTATAGTCTATAATAAGGTAGGGTAGCTACTGTCCTCATCTAGTAGAGAAGTATACACAAGGCTTTATGGAAATTTTTATAGTAACATTTCAAAGTTATTCTCTAGAATCCAACTGTGTAAATGAGTAATTCTGAAATGCAGTCAGTTGGAAGAACATTAACTGAGAAACTTAAAGAAGCATTCCTTCCAGGATAGATGAGTCAGGAAAAGGAATCCCCACTATTGACCTATAGTGGACCTTGGGTCATCCTACATGGAATACTGCAATCTGTACAGGGGTAGGTACAGTTCATCATCATTCCTGAAATAGGGAGACTTGGCAAAAGAACAGACAGCACTCCAGACACTATAAATCTGGTTTTGGCAAAGTTTATAATCCATTCATTGCAATTTTTTTTCATGCTTCAGGTTCCCTGGAATATTAACTGCCTTTTAATTATTATTATTCAGCAAGCCAGACAAAAGATAGAAGGGATCCTGAAACCTCCCAGCAGCCTTCTTAGCCCAGGAAAAAATTCTTATTTAGGTCTACAGGTAAACAGACTATGGCCCTATCAAAGGTAATAAACATTTGGGAATCATATGCTGAAATAATTAACATCTCTCTCAATTACTACCTCTGGATACTTAATACTTATGTACTTAACATACTCAATGCCTCATTTCATTCACACAACCCTGCAAAGTAGCTTACAAATAAGGAAACCAGGGATTCTGAAGTAGCAACCAAAGCAGGACTCACCAAAACATAAGGCCATGTCAGTTTTGACTAAGATCATGGTTTAAGGCTTTTATATCTGACTTTCAAATTATTGATTACATTCCAGAGGTTTTGTTTATGAGGCTAGTTTGGGTTTGAGAAGCAAATAGTTACTAAGTCTACAATGAAGCCTTCAAAAGCATAAAATTTCCATTTTCAACTTATCTTTGTTGGGTTGGAGAAGGCAAGAAAAGAGAATACCAGCTAAAATTACCCTGATTACAGCCTGAAGTGCTTCATCAAATTGTCTCCAGCATACCTTACAAAGAAATCAACTTTTTTGTCCATACTACACCCAGAAGGCATGTATATTCTCAAAAGAACTTGCAAAGAAAGGTATTGATCTGAAGTTCCTTTCAGGGCTGAAATGCTAACAGCATTTTTCATCTCCAGGTGACAGGATTCTGGGAAATTTTTATTTCTTGTATTCTTCTGTGTTTTATAAACTTCATTTGCATAACACACATTCTATTTTTAATCAGAAACTTTTTTAAATTTAAAACTTATTTTGGAAAAACACCTTACCATATTGTGAAAACCCAATGTTCTGATACCTTGTGACTAGTGTCTAGTATTAAGCAAGTCTAAGAAGACATTAACAGTGCTTAAAAACAAAAAACTCTATGCTGGGCGTGGCAGTGCACCCCTGTAATCCCAGCAATCTGGGAGGCTGAGGCAGGAGGATTCCAAGTTGAAAGCCAGCCTCAGCAATTTAGTGAAGTCCTAAGCAACTCAGCAAGTTCCTGTCTCAAAATAAAAAGAGCTGGGGATGTGGTTCACTGGTTAAGTACCCCTGGGTTCAATCCCCCGTACCAAAAAAAAAAGATTCTGAGTGCCTGCAAATTAGGGGATTTTTTTTTCCCCTTATCAAGTAACACATTTCTAGGTCATTGCTTTTTCATAGTTCCACTAGGTTAAAAAGGATCATGTTTTGATGATCTTTTTGGCTTAATTACAAGGTTTAAAAAGTAACATGTGCCGTTTATGGCAATTATATTTCAATGAGCCATTTAAAGTAAAAAGAAACTATAGAAAGTTACTGATAGTTTATAAGTCATTTCCAAGTGCACGTTTTCATTTGGTCTTCACAAGTCTGTAAAGCGGTCAGAAAGGACTTTTCTAATAATTATCTTGTTAATAACACTACATGAACCAGAATCTACACCCCATTCTTCAGACCTCTCTTCACCAGTTAACTTCCACCTGACAGAGGTTCTAGGTTCTAGTCCCACTAACTTGGCGCATGACCTAAGGCAAGTTAACCTCCTTGGGCCTACTCTCCTATCTATAAAATGAAGTAGTACTGGTAAGTCTAGGAAGTGCCAAGCTGCATATACTATATCAGCTTCCAAAGTCCACTGCTGGAATGCTGATTCTGCTACCTATGCTGAACAAAATCTTGTTCATCCTTCAGTTATGTATTCAAATTCCACTTCTTTCAAATAACCTGATCTTGGGCTGGGGATGTGGCTCAAGTGGTAGCGCGCTTGCCTAGCATATGTGAGGCACTGGGTTTGATTCTCAGCATCACATAAAAATAAAAAATAAAAATATTGTGAAATCTAAAACTAAAAATTAAATATTAAAAAAAACCTGATCCTATTACAAAAATGATCCTGCCAGCACTCCCAAATTGTTATGTTGATGGGCCTATATCTACTTCTTATGACAATTTCTATCTTTCATTACAGCTATCTTACTATTGTATCTCTTCTACCTTGCATTACAGCTATATCCCTTATGACAGTATGAGTACTTTATCACTGAAACCATACCCACAATTCCCCACAGCACATTGCTCTACATAAGTACTACAGTTGCTAAACATTATGAAAATTTGAAAAAGTAGAAGAAATAAAATAAGTGTGAAACACCACCTCTCAGTAATACAGTAACTGAGAGCCATGTTTACCATGACCTCCAAGCCAGAACCATCTACCTCCTTCAGACTGTTTCTCTAAGCCTGATTCCTATCACCTAGATGAAAGCAGCATTTTGGAATTCTACTCCTGGCTCGGGAGCTGAGAATCTGATCAGTAGGCATTATACAACTGTGAACCTCGGTTTTTCACCTGTAAAATGGGCAGAATAGGACCAATTTTACAGGGTTATCCTGAGACCCAAATGAGAACGAAGTCCCCTCTAGAATTACAAATTTCTTAACTTGAAAGTACTGAATGAACTAGCCACTACCTGTTTTTCAAGTCTTCATTGCTTAACTCTAACCAAACTGGAGAACACTCCACTCTGTGTAAGCACTCTTAACTTGCTATTTGCCTTATCCTATAAATCAAGCCTTCCCACTGCTGGAGAAAATTCTAAGCATCGTTCAGGGTCTACTCAAAAGCCAACACTAGTTTAGAGAACCTCGAATTCTTCCTCATCATCCCTTCCAAGGCCCTCTAGACAGAAAAAAACTACAAATTCTTCATACTTTTTTTTTTTTTTTTGACACGGGGTGTAGTTTTGGTGGGGGCACTCTACCTCCTGTGTTCAGCAATACCGAGTGAGAGCTCTTTTAACACCAATTTCATTTTAAGTCGTTTGATTTTACATGAACTAGCATAAATAGCGGGGGTGGGGTGGGGATTTGAGATCCAAGTACGACTGGAGAAAGGGGCTCAGTCAGCTTCGCAGCCCGGACTTCTCGCTCAGATCGCTATGAGCCCTGTTAAAGGAAGCTCGGGGACATCCGCCCGGAAACTTTCCGAGAAGGCTGCTCACTTTTTGAAGCCGAAGGGTCTTCTCCTCGAATCCTAACTTCCTTACCCTCTCGTCTTTTTAAGAATAACGCTCGAGAGGAAAACAAGGGCGGGATACCTGCCTGGAAAAACTCGACTACAAACTTTTTAACTACAGTGTTCCATCGGAGCCGAGGGAGGCTCCTCGGGGCGCCCAGAGAAGCGAGCTGATCAGTGCCCAGCGGAAACGAGTGAAGGAGTCGCCAGCCCCAATCTAGTTCAGTCGGGGCATCAGTCCCTTCAGGACCGGCGCCCCAACGCGTGCTCTCCACTCCCGGAACGCCGACCCCAGGAAGAAGCCGGCCCCGGCGCTGTGGCTCTGAGGAGAGCCGGGAGCGGCCAAGCATGCGGATCCAGAATCCTCGCCGGCTCCACCGCTCCGGGCTGCCTAGGCCCGGGTGCCCCACATGGCGGCGGCCGGCCGCTAGGCCGCAGGCCCGGTTTCCCCCACTGGGTGGGTAAGGCTTCCTGCCTTATCCTTAGCCCTAGCGCCGGGCTCAGGCGCTCACCTCGTCCCCGGACATGGCTGCGGTTCGAGCGGGCTCGGCACGAACGAGAAGTCAGACGGGTCAGCCCCTGGCCTCGGCGGCAGCGCTGCTCCTACCGACACCTCTCCCAGCACCGCACTAGGCTCTTGCATCAGCGAAAGGGAACGACACCCCGCCCTCCTCCCAAACGTTGGAAGTGCGCCTGCGCAGAGCTCGCCGAGGCGCAGGCGCGCGGAAGAGCCCACCCAGTGCGCTTCATGTGGCGCGAGTAACCAGGGGACGCTGCTGCGCGGGCATGCCGGGACTTGTAGTTCTCCTGGAAGAGGCAGCCGCCTTGCAATCGGTGCGCGGAGTCTGAGCGAGCCCAGCCTAGGGATTCGGTTTCTTGTTGTGACTATTGCCTGAGCCTTTCGGAGAGTTCGGTATTGTTCGTAGAGCTATGCTAGTCTGCTTATAGAGTGAATTGGGGGCCATTTCTCCTGAGATAGGCAGGTAGGTGAGACAGTAATATGAAACCGGCGTGCTGTTTCCCCCTGTCCCTGAGGTATTCTAGTATTTGAGGAATTCTAAGTCGGAACTGGAGATGCGCGCCTCACTAGAAGGTTTTACTTCGTGAGACATTTAACGTATTAACTTTTTACTTGGAAGACAGGAAACCGAAAGCCTTCTCCCCCTGTCTCTCCAGAGGTGGCCTGAGGAAAGAAGGCATTCCCTGAGGAGAAACGGACCGGCGAGAGAGGCTCCGGAAGCCTCAAAACAGCCATGCCTCGCTTAATGACAGATACATGTTGAGAAGTGTGTGATTCGGCAATTTCCTCGTCGTGGAACATCATCACACAACGAAATGGGCTACAATGTCCCTGTGGGACCACCACCGTGTGTCTTGTCGGTCCTGGACAGAAACTTCGTTAGGTGGCGCAGGACTGTACTTGTTTATGAAGTCGCCGCTTGACTGCACAGGGTGCACCTGCAGTTCCCTTTGGGGCATAATAGTTAACTAACGTTTAGGGTGATCTCACTCTGTCGGTGCTCTCCAGATCACCCAGAACTCCTCTGGGGCTGGACAAATTGGGTTTATTGACTCCTTGCAAGGAGGGAGGCACCTGTAGGAAACAGCAGGACATCTCAGGGACAGTGTTAGAAAGGATTTACAGTTTGGGCTTCTCAGGTAATTTGTGGTAGAGTTCAGGAGGCTGGGCTTCTCTCCGAATCGGATGTTTATTAGAAGGTGGGTGTAATTCTGTGACTGGGTATTTTAATAATTCTTCCATAAAAAGGGAGAAGATCCGAGTGAGACTAAAGCTCTGATTGGTGAAGAAGCAATACTCCTTCATATGACAGATGATAAGGGAATATTTAGTCATTTTTTGTGGTTGAAACAAGGCTTTTTTGTTTGTATTCAAATATGATTACAGAGTGGGGTTTTTTTGTTTTGTTTGGATTCATTGTGATCATAGAGTAGCCTTGTCAGATGTTGGTGTTCCGTGAAATTATTTAATTCAACAGGTCAGCATATGCTAGGTGATGGTGCCAGCCTACTCCCCAACCCCACTATCAGGGGCTGCTTTTTCCTCATTATGTTCCATATTATGTAATATATGATCTCTGCTTTAGTTTCAAAACAACTGGTGTTTGATAATCAAACATTTAGTATAAATATTTAGCACTCCCCACTGTATACTTATCTCTAATCTAAGCACAGCTGGTTCTTGCCTCCAAGTACCTACTAGTTTAGTGAGATGGATATTTTACTAACCCTTTTTTCAGATTAGGAAACTGCTTTTGTTGCATTGAATAATTAGTTTAAAGTCATATACAGTCAGCAAAACAGGAAATCTGGGAATCCAAGTCCAGACAATCTGATACTGGTAACTGTCCCTTTATCACTTTAAGAATATGAATTCCTAAGGACCCTAAATTGCTGCCACTAAATCTCAGTTATCATCTTCAGCTACTGATATCTGTACATATCATAATTTCTCAACAGCAGTGCTATTGACATTTTGGACCAACAATTCTGTATTACGGGGTCATGGTCTATGCACTGTAGGACATTTGGCTGCATCTGTGGCTTCTATTCATGGATTCTAATAGGATCTCCCTCTACTAATAACAACCAAAAAATACCTCCAAGGGCTGGGGATGTGGCTCAAGCGGTAGCGCGCTCGCCTGGCATGCGTGCGGCCCGGGTTCTATCCTCAGCACCACATACAAACAATGATGTTGTGTCCGCCAAAAACTGAAAAATAAATATTAAAATTCTCTCTTCTCTCTCTCTCTCTCTCTCTCTTAAAAAAAAAAAATACCTCCACGCATTGCCAAGTGTCCCCTGAAGGACAAAGTCATCTCTGGTTGAGAAGCACTGGCATATGCCTTTTATCTCTTCCTGGGTCTTTGAAATAAAACAAACATTTGAGACCTGACAGTCCCCAAATAACTTTGAATGGGGAGGCCTTGAAGAGGAGACGAGGACACTGTGTACTAAGTTCTTGAAAAGTCTTCTAGGAAAATGAAGACAGAGAAGGGAAAAACAAATCAAGTGGAAAATGCAAAGGGAGAACTGAGAAGGGATAAAGATGGAGAAAAGGAACTCGAGGAATGTAGCCTTACTTCACTCAGTTCACATTAGCAAAGTTATTTCACACTAACAAAAACACACTAAGGGAGTCCTATTTGGAAAATGCTGGTATGCTTAGCAAAGAGTCTTGATCAATTTGTGAAAGTATTTCTTTTTCTTTACAGCATGGTACCAGCTATAACCTCCTTGAACTGGCTACTTGAAAGAAGCCTTCCTTCAGCGATATCACTTCTTCTAAGGTAGTAGTTTATGTTCCAGGAAAAGTCAAGATTCCCTAGTGAGCTGGCCATTGTCACAAAGCTATGATAGCTAAGTTTTTTTCAGGTTTTCTAAGAGCTAGATTCTACTCAGCATTATCACAAACAATCACTTTTATTTTCATAACTTCTTTCATGTAGGAATTTTTACAAAGCATATGATGTTTATTAATTTTCATCTCATACCTGTGAAGGAAATCATTTTGATTTTCCTGTTTTATAGATACAGAAGCCAAAATATGGAGTCCACAAAAAATAGTGATAAATCTGGAAACAGCCTACAGGGATCTTCACTCTGGATCATTCTTTATGTTTAGCACCACCCCAGATCTTCAACTACCTAATAGTAAGCTAAAGATGATAATACTTCAATTGAATGCTAAATTATGTTTAAAGCCAATATTTTATTGGCTTTAAAATATTCCATAGTCTCTTCATTTGACCTATAAAATAGCAGGCCTATAGAGACTTTGACTTAAAACAATAGTGACAGTACTTGAACTAGTACCCAGATCTCATGATTCTTAGTCTAGTATACTTTTCACTTGGTAATACTTAGCTTACAGAAAAAATAATTAAGACAGAAACTCTAATACACATAGTAATACACATAATAATAATAACTCTAATACACATAGTAATACACAAAACTCTAATACACATACCAGACTTATCCAACCATTTGAGTACTTCATTACATAGGGGTCTTAAAAAGTTAGTTTTAGGGCTGGGTCTGGGGCTCAGCAGTAGAGCACTTGTCTAGCACGTGCAAGGCCCTGGGTTCAATCCTCAGCACCACATCTAAATAAATAAAATAAAGGTATTGTGTCCAGCTACAACTAAAAAATATATATATTTTTTAAAAAGTTAGCTTTAGTGAGGAAAAGAAAGTCATAGTAGGGTTGGGGTTGTGGCTCAGTGGTAGAGCACTTGACTAGCATGTGTGAGGCACTGGGTTCAATTCTCAGAACCACATATAAATAAATAAATAGAATAAAGGTCCGTTGACAACTAAAAAGTATTTTAAAAAAGACATAGTATTTATTAATGAAAAGCAACTAGTAACTACAAAATTAAATTTATATTTGGGTTGATGTAGTAGACTTCAGAAGGTGCAGTGAGTCTTCCCCTAAAGAAGTTTTGCATAGGGTTAGCCTTTGAGAAATAGATTAATAGGAATAAATTCTTAATTATCAAATTTAGTAATATGTGAAAATGATAAAATTGTCTTTAAAAATGTGTCACTGAGGAGATTCAGGAATCACCAATTCTAAGAAAGTTGCCCAGGAAATACTATATTTCATAGCATCATTATGTTAATAATTCCCAAATCTGTATTTCCAATCCAGACCTCTCCTCTGAGTTCTAGCCGCACATAATGCCTACTTTGAATTTGGTTGTCTTACAGAGGTTTAAAAAGAATTTTATTATTTTCCACATTAAATTTTCCTCACATCAGTTAATGGCAATGTTCTCTGCTCAGTTGCTTGTATTAGAAATCCAGGAGTTACCCTCAATTCTTTCCTTTCCTTTACCTTTGTCCTCTTTCCTTTCCTTTACCTTTGTCCTCCAATCCATTATCGAGTATTAATAAATCTGAAATTCAAACAACTTATCTCTGTCTTCAATACTACTAGCCTAATCTAAGTGATTGTCATATTTTTCTTGGATACTGTAATATTTTCCTTTTGTCCCTTCACAACACTTATCACAGTTTGTTTAATTTACTGATCTGCTATTTACTTGTGATTTTCTTAATCTTATATTACTACTAGACTATACAGAAATTCTTTGAGAATAGGTACAGAGTCTGTCTTGTTCACTCTAATAATCCCAGCATCTAGCAGAGGACCTAGCTCATCATAGGAAATTAATAAATACTTTAGAATATTTGTTGAATTAATCAATGAAAATTTAATAGTCCAGAATTATAGCATGATTCTTATAGTGAAATAGTTGAAGTTGAGGCCTTTATTTAATCAAACCTGGTAAAATTGACTGAAACTACCTACCATAATTAAAATCAATTGTATTATAGTATATTTGAAAGTGTGTGTTGAAATTAAAACTATACACCTGGAATCCAGAAAGAGAGGAAACACTCAGGATTTGGTCATGTTTTCCATCCAGCATGTTCAGGATTGAGAAATTATGAACCCAAAGAATATTGTTAAGTTAGTTATTAGAGAGGTACACTTATTCTAGAGCATAGATCATTTCTTATGCTTTACCTGTGACCTGAATTAAATAGACCTTAATAACATCAACCTCCTTTTTTCTGATCATTCCCAAGTAGTGTTTTGATTATCAACTTAGATTCCTTGGTACCTTCATACTGGGAAAGAAATGATTTAGACAACAAACGTAAATATTCTTGTCACTGGAAAAATGCATTTCACATTAGAACATAATTCTGTGAGGACAGAAAATTGATCATCACAGTTACATCCTCGCTCTTTATAGAACTATGCTGAGCACAAAGCAGATTTTTTTTTTTTGGTGGGTACTAGGGATTGAACCCAGGGCACTTAATCACTGGGCCACATCCCCCCAAAGTAGATTCTTTATAAGTACTTGGTGAATGAATGAATGTGTATTAGTAAATTAGGATTATATTTTATACCACAGTCTCTTATGCATTTTTTATTGTGAGTCAGTCTTCAAGTATTTTTTATTGTGAGTCAGTCTTCAAGTGTTCTGTACTACATGCATTATGAAAATTAGGTTTCTGATTTTGGAGGCCAAATATGAGATCCTGAACTCTGGTATTCCACCTAAAGGTCCTTGAGATTATTTGGTTAGCCAGTTTACCACCTCCTTTGGTATCTTGTAATTCCAGTTCATCCTCTTTAGCCTATAAAGTTTTTTAAATAAAAAGAAATCTAATTGTGTTGTTCTCCTGATTAAAAATCAATTAATTCTGTTACCTTCCGAATAATAGCTAGCCCAAGTCTCTCTCAATGTCCACCTCCCCTTACAATTTTACTATCTATCTTTCTTACCATTCCCCATTCACAGATGCTAAGTTCTAGCTGCACTGTATCCCTTAATATTTCATGAACATGCTGTGCTCCTTGATTTTTTCCATACTATTTCCGCTGGCTAGAATGTCTTTGCCTGCTTTTTCCATCTGATGAACTCCTATCATCCTTTAAAATCCAGCTAGATGTTACTTTTGAAGAACGCTTTGATTTCATTCTTGTTTTCTCTCTACTACTCTATCACAGTCCTTACCATATCATGGGTAGCTGTCTTTGAGGTCATGGAGGGCAGGATCTGTGTCTTACTCAACTTTCTGTGCTTTTCCAACACCTAGCACATGTTTGTGAAAGCAAAACCTATATGAAGTGAGAGATAGGAGCACTAATAACTAACTTGCCAACAGACTTAGCTTCTTGAGCACAACCTCCTTCCCAAGGGAGGATGGGAAATTTCCCAGCTATATTCTGTTTGGAATAATAGAGTATGAACACAGTCAGGAAAGAAATGTGTTTTACATATTCCCTTTATGATTCACTATAAAAGGAGGTAATAACATTCTTCTTGACATCAGCAGGCTCTCAAAGGAGTGATTCATTGTACCTTGTACATACTCAGTACTGTGGATTGTCACTGTTTTTAAAAATGTTTTGGATTCTCACTATTAATTGCTAATCTTTCCCCCTTGCTCTCGAAAGACATTGTAATATCAACATCCCGCACAGTGCCTAATACTTATTAGGAGCTCAATAAATGTTTATTGAAAGACTTATGAATTAATAAAACAAAAATGAAACTTTCCCGTCTCCTGTCAGATAATTTAAGCCTTCCCTCTTAAAATGTTTTTATATTCCAGTTCCTCTTTATAGCGTTTTCCTTTTTGTTGGGAAGGGGGGACTCGGTAATGAACTCAGGGGCACTCAACCACTGAGCCACATCCCCAGCCATATTTTATATTTTATTTAGAGACAGGGTCTCACTGAGTTGCTTAGCACCTTACTTTTGCTGAAGCTGGCTTTCAACTCGCAATCCTCCTGCCTCAGCCTCCCAAGCCAGTGGGATTACAGGTGTATGCCAACATACCATATAGCCTTTTCCTTTTAAAAATATTTTTATTGGTGTGTAATAATTATACAGAATAATGAGTTTCATTGTGGCATATTTGTATATGCACAAACCATAATTTGATCAATTTCATTCCCCAGAACCTTCTCTTGCCCTCCCCTCCTTTCTCTCCCTGACTCCCTTCCTTTATCTTACTGATCTCCTTTCTATTTTCATAAGATCCCCTTTTTTCTCTCCAGCTTCCACTTTTATGAGAGGAAACATGACCTTTGACTTTCTGAATCTGGCATATTTCACTTAAAAATGCTTTCCAGTTCCATCCATTTTCTTGCAAATGATATAATTTCATTCTTTTTAAAATTTTTTTTGTAGTTATAGATGGACAGAATGCCTTTATTTTAATGAAATTATATCTGAGCTACAGTCCCAGCCCAGATATAATTTCATTCTCATTTATGGTTTTATAACCTTTTATAATCAACTTAGCCTATTATAATATTACCCTTTTCTGTTGTCATTTAATACTTATTGGATAAATATTGGATAAACATTTAGCCTATTCTATTTTGCATTGTTGTTTATTTTAAAATGCATTTTCCTTTCTTCTAAGCAAGATTTTAAGATTCCTTTTAAAAATTTTTTCTTCTTTTCATGTTTTTAAAAATTTCTCAGGTTAGTGGCTTGGTGGTAGAGTGCTTGCCTAGCACATGTGAGGCACTGGGTTCCATCCTCAGCACCACATAAAAATAAATAAATAAAATAAAGTTAGGTCCATCTATAACTAAAGATATTTTTAAAAATTTCTCAGTTTAAAAATTCTTGAGAGGCCATGTATTAAAATTGTGCCTCATACAATGTCTTAAATCTGGTAGAATCTGGGCTGGGGTTATGGCTCAGTGGTAGAACACTTGCCTAGCATGCATGAGACACAGCATCACATAAAAAACTAAATAAGCAAAATAAAGGTATTGTGTCCATCTACAACTAAAAATATTTTTTTAAAAAATCTAGTAGGGGGGCTGGGTTGTGTCAGTGGTAGCGTACTTGCCTGGCATGTGTGAGACACTGGGTTTAATTCTCAGCACTGCATAAAAATAAATAAAGGTCTATCAACATGAAAAAAATATTTTTAAAAATCTAGTAGGATCTTTTTTTAAAAAAATGGACACAATATCTTTATTTTATTCATTTATTTATATGCATTGCTGAGAATTGAACCCAGTGCCTCACACATGCTAGGCAAGCACACTACCACTGAGCCACAACCGCAGCCCTAGTAAGAGCTTAATATTATAAATTATTGGTGAAGTTACCCAGGGTTACTTAGTATCTTGGCATCTCAAAACCACAGTGAGATACCACCTTATGCTGATTAGAATGGCTACTGTAAAAACAAAAGCAAAAGATCCACACACCAAAATATGACAGATGTTTTAAGGATGTGGAGAAATTGGAACCTTTGTGCACAGTTGGTAGGAATGTAAAATGGTACAACCATTGTGAAAAACAGCATGACAGTTCCTCAAAAAAAATTTTTTTTTAGTTGTTGATAGACCTTTATTTTATTTATTCATATGTGGTGCTGAGAATCGAACCCAGTACCTCACACATGCCAGGCAAGTGCACTACTGCTGAGCCACAACCCCAGTCCACTCAAAAAATTTTAAATACAATAACCACATGATCCAACAATTCTACTTTTAGGTTTATATTCAAGAGAATTGAAAACTGAGTATTTAAGAGGTATTTATTTGGACACCCAAGTTCATAGCAACATTATTCACAATAGCCAAGAAGTAGAAACAATCCAAGTGCTCATTACCATATGGATAAGCAAAATGTGGTATATACATACAGTGGAATATCATTTAGCCTTAAAAAGGAAGGAAATTATGACAGATACTATACTATGGATAAAGCTTGAGGACATTATGCTAAGTGAAATAAGTAAGTCATAAAATGACAATATTATATTATCCCACTTGTACGAGGTACCTATAATAGTAAAATTTATAGAAAAAGAAAGTAGAATGATGGTTGCCAAGGACTGATAGCAGTAGTGAAAGGGATATTGTTGTTTAATGAGCACAGAATTTCAGCTTTGCAAGATTAAAAGAATTCTGGAAATTGGTTGCAAACAATGTAAATGTACTTAACTGTACACAACTTAAAAATGGTTAAAAATGGTATGGTACATGTATTCTTCCACAATTTTCTTTTTAAAAGGATACTGAACAGGACTTCAAAAGGCCATGATTAGAGTTCTTGATTATTCCTTGATGACTAGTAAATCCTGAGCAAGTTTCTTCTTTACTCAGTGTCCCTGTTCCTTTATCTTTAATCAGGACAGTAAAGCCTGCCAACTCTGGGTGTGTATGAGACTCATATAAAAAACAAAACAATTCTTAGGACAATGTTTTGATTAGGACTTTTCCCAGTATTCCAGTGTCCCATGTCTCTTGATATTTATTACTAGTTTCGCGTCTTATTTCATAACAAAATGTTCTTGAAGATGTCTCAGCAATAGCTTGTTACCACCTCAAAGGATTTGTACGCTGAACCCTTTCAATTTGGGTTGTTCACCTTATAATTCGGCTCCAGGAAAGCAGCAAATAAACATCTTTTACGAGGCCTATTAATGATGTAAGATGCTAATTATCCATGTGGTTTAGCATTAACTGAGGAAATACAGCTCAAGATTTTCATGTTAATATAAGGATGCTAGTCCAAAATTGGGGACTAAAAGGGAATAATATCTGTTGAGTACCATTAAGTGTCAGGCCCACAGCACTGTCTCATTTGATATTCAGAGCAGAATTTTCAGGTTAATAATATTTTACCTATTTTATAAAAGGAGAAAATAAAGCTCAGAAAGGTGAAGTCAACAGGTTCAGATATGTATGATTCTGATATCCATACTTCTTCTACTATAGAAGTTTTGAGGAGTTATACTGCTCCTCAAAATATATTTGACTATACTTATATAATGTATAGTCTATGATAAATGATATGCATTTGATATATATTTGTACATTTGTATCAATTATCTTTCTTCATCAAACAAGTAAAAGAGACTGTGTAGAGATGGTTATTATCATTTTGTAGATGAAGTAACAAGTAGTAAGAAAATTTAACATCAAGCAACTAATAAATAATAACAGAACTTAGACAGAGGTTCTGCAGTTCTCAGACTCTTGCTTTTCTAAATCAACCTTATGGGAACAAAATTTTTTCTCTGCATTTTCTGATTCTGACTTTTTGGTGTTTTTTTGTAGCAAAGGATGAGCATCTTTTACTCTGGCTGTGCATGAACAGAATAAACATATATGTTTATCCCTGTTCACATCCCCAAATCAGTAAAATGATGGGGAACAAATATTTTTAAAGTTACTAGCCTATTAGGACAAAGAGAGTAAAAAAAAAAGAGGATAAGAGCCAATGGAGGACATCAACACATAGAAAATAGAAAGCCGCAGTTGAGCTGAGAAAACTGAGTTCTAAATGTTTTCAGAGGGGTATACCAAGAACATACTAAGAAGAGACAAGCAGCTTCATATTGTAGAATACTAGAATGTCAGGAATTGGAGGGTGCAAATGTTTCAGAGACAGAGGTTGATATGAAGGGTAGAAAAGAGGGGGATTGGCCAAAAGCCTTTATAGGAATAGGAAGTTAAACTATCAGTTTTCTTCCTCTATCCTACTTACTTTCCTTCCATTTCCCAATAGAACCCTGGACATTTTTCTGTGGAAAAAAAAAAAAAATCAAACTAGAGAAGCGTCAGACTCTGAGATACCAGCATGCTAAGGATAATAGCCAATGAAGCCAAGGTAGGAGGAAACTATGCAGAAAACAGAGGTTAGACGAATTGTCTACATATTGAACAATGAAACTTACCCTTACCCTCTTGCTACATTTTGTTCTAAGAAAGCTGATAGCAAGGATTATATTCCCCAGATAGGATATCAGAGATAATTTTAGTAGGAACTTAAAATTGAATAACCCCAGAGAGAACTTCTATAGCTACTGATAGTTGAGGGTCCCTTAAAAAGCACCTGGGTCCCCACTTTATTATTCTACAAGGAAACTCACCAAGTGACAAATTCTTCTATTAACACAAAGCTTCCAAATAATTATTTGGTGACTCACTCTTAAATACAGAAGAGACAGCAAAGAATTACCAGATACTTAATATATATCAGGAAAAATAACATCAAATAGAAATGGCAAAGAAAAAAGAAACCCAAGGAAACAGACAAGGAGAAGAATATTTTTTAAAAAAAAGCATTCTCTGAGAGATAGTAGAAAATAATGCATCCATAAGGTAAGGGCAAGATGCTCCAACAGAAACAGAGACTAAGTAATAGCTCTGGGAAATTACAAATGTAGTAGCAAAAATATATTTATTTTTAAATATATTCATTCAAGTCTTAATATATAAATTTGAGAAAATCTCTCAGAAAATAGAACACAAGAACAAAAATAGAAAACAAAAGAAGATAATGAAAAGGTTAATTCATAGGTCCAACATTAAATTAATCAGAGTTCTAGAACTAGGGAATAAATGGAGGGAAGGAAATTATTAAAGAAACAACTGAGAACATGTCTGATAACTGAAGAACATGAGTTTCCAGACTGGCAGAGCCTGCTGAGTGCTCACGATAATGAAGAAAAAAAGATGACAACAACAAACACTATGACACATCATCATAAAATGTCAAAACACAAGAGATAAA